TTTAAAATGTCGAGTTAACAGGAAATATCCTTGGCACAACAGTATGACCCTGCCTGACCCTTAGAACTATGAACAGGTTACTCAGACTCTGCGAAACCAGTAACAGATCTGACCAGCCTACACTTCACTGAAAAGGGTGATTTGCATATATTTCTAATACTATGACATGGTGGAAAAGAAGGAACCTCATATGTGTTAGATAGAGGTAAAGGCATCTGAAAGTGCAATAAGAATCAATGTGATATGTGTAATAAAATGAGATAAATAGACCAGGTGCGGTGGCTCATGCCTATAATACTAGCATTTTGGGAGGCCGAGGCGGGCGGATCACGAGGTCAGGAGATTGAATCCATCCTGGCCAACATGGCGAAACTCCATCTCTACTAAAATACAAAAAATTAGCCGGGCATGGTGGAAAATGCCTGCAGTCCCAGATACTCAGGAGGCTGAGGCAAGGGAATCGCTTGAACCCGTGAGGCAGAGGTTGCAGTGAGCTGAGATCACACCACTGCACTCTAGCCTGGCAACAGAGCAATACTCCATCTCAAAAAAAAAAAAAAAAAAGATAATTTTTTTCAGGACCTCAAAACTTCTCCTTTGAAACACTTTGATTAAAAAATGAAAAAATATATGCATGCATGAACCTAGAGGCAAGTCTTTTTAGAAAACATAAAATATTTTAAGTAATGTTTTTCTGAACAGAATTGGCTCTAATGTGTGAGAGGTCTATGAAGATTAGCCTCTTGCTACTTTATGTTTTAAAGTATATTCCTTGAGACCCAAAGTTTCTGACTTTAGAAAACAACTCTCAACTACTATCGGCTATCCTCTAGACACTTTCAAAATCCTCTAAAACCTAATAGTGGTGCAAGATTTTGTCTTTCCTAGTGATAACTAGATTTAAGTAAGAAAATGCTAAAGACTAAAAAGTGTTTAGGACCCACAAGAAAGGTATAATTCTGTTCCTCATAGAGATATTTTAGTTACACACTTCTTATTCTGATCCTCCCCAAAACATAGAAATCTAGAGTTGGCATTTAAAGAGAAAATGAGATTTTTGTCTGGAAACAGGAGAGAAAAGTTTTCAAGAAGTATAGAAAGCATATGAAAGGGCACAAGGTTTGAAATGGCCTGTACTCATGAGAGAATGCAGAATACACATGGGTGTGGAGGAGCCTGGAAAGAATGGAGAGAGGTAAGGCTGGAGTATCAAGTCTGGTTCAGAGTACAGAGCATAAAATCCCATACGAATGTAGAACATGAGGAGCCAATAACCATTGTGTGAGAAACACAGGGAAAAGAGGAAGAAAAAAGTCCACATAGTGTACTTACAGTCAAAACAATCCTAGGAGGTGACTTACATGTATCGTGTCATAAAATCCGTGACACAATTCCATTAGATGGGTACTGTTTTCATAGTTACACAAGTGAAAACTCTTGAGGGTCAAGATGTTCAGTGTAGCAAGCATAGTATAATTTCTTGGCTCAAGATGCCTCCAATGTCAGTGAACATTACTATCCCAAGACTGTCTATTTAGGAAATAGTAAGGTCAATTGTCTATGAAGGAAGTATTGTTATAATCGCCATTTTACAGAGGAGTAAATGGAGATTCAGAGAGGTTAAGTCATCTGACTATAGTTACACAGCTACAAAAAAAAATAGAGCAAGGATTCAAATACAGCAATCTGGTCCTGGAAAGCCTAAATATTCTACACCCTGCTTTCTGATTCAGAGCAATTTCCTGCTTTTCTCCCTTCGATAGAAAAAAATGTATGTGTATGGGGTTGGAGGCGAATAAATTGACTGGCTATATTTTCTCTCTTTAATATTTGATCTTTCATTGTCTGCCCCAAGCAGTGGGTCTTCCTCCTTTATCTTCTTCTTGTGAAAATAGCTAAAATCACCTAACTGGTAAAAACCTAGGCAGGTTTTGTGTTCTAGCCTCCATTCTTCCAGTCTAATGGGTGATTGTTAAATTTTGGTACTCATTGTATGTAGAAGACCTCTAAGTTCGCTAAAGAGCTTACTGCACATTGATTTTTTTTTTTTAGATTCAAAAGGAATCAATTGAGCACCTCCTATACTCCAGGACATGTGCAAGATGCAAGAGATAGAGCAGTAAAAAAGTCTGATACGGTTTCCCCTCCCTTTCCCAGCTGTGTACAGATGTTCTTCAGGTGGTAAATGCTGGAGAAGAGGAGATCAGAAATACTGACCTGATGGGTCTATAGATGAGATTATCTGCCCATGACTGGTGCAGAGATGGCTGCATTGCTAGACCTCTCCATCTTCCTCTGAATATGTGTCCTCTAATTTATTATCCCAGTGGCATATTTAGTCATCATGAACTATCCTCCCTTTTTGAGTCTCAGGCCCTGGTCTTGCTTTTCAATAGACTCCCTCCCTCTCTTCCTTCCTCCTTCCTTCCCTGACTGCTTGACTTCCTGACTTCCTGACTTCCTTCCTTCCTTCCTTCCTGCCTTCCTGCCTTCCTGCCTTCCTGCCTTCCTGCCTTGTCTTGCCTTGCTTTTCAATTGATTCCCTCACACCCTCCCTTCCTCCTTATTTCCTCCCTCCCTCCCTCCCTGACTTCCTGACTTCCTTCCTTCTTTCCTTCTTCTTTTCTGTCTTTTTCCAAATGTGCTTTTCAGGAAACAGTGGTCTGCTTGTTGAAGTCTGATAATTTTCTACTTCCTCATCCTCCACTCTATTGAAATTTAGTGTGACATGATCATTTCCACCTCATTAGGTACTTCTTTCATGGTCAGAAGTAAGTCTGGAGAAAAAAAAAAAAAAAATCTCTTGTTTTTGCTCTCATTTGAGGGTCAAATTTTCAATAAGTCACTTTTTAAAAAAGCATTTTCTGACACTTCCCATAAGCTTAAAATCCTCCTAAACTGCTGTATATTGCCTCCGTATACATTGTGTATCTATTTTAGGAACACTCCATCCACATTTGCCAGTCAGCCTGGTGTTCTGCAGTTAGTTCCTACAGTGATATTTTAATTTAGCTCTCTTTTCATCCTCACACATGCATCCTCTCTGGATGTTTAGCTCCTTTCCTGGAATCCCTTTTAAGATTTCTAGATCTTGTTTGCTTCCATGATTTCTTCTCCTGGACTGTGACACAAAACGCTATTCTTTCTTTACATTACATTTAATTCTTTCTAGAAAGAGCCTCAGAGTAGTCAGATAGCTTTGAGAAACAAAATTTTTTCTTTATCGCCTCAGTGTTACTGCCTTTGAATCATTATTTCTTGACATAAATTTCTTTATTCTATCTGATACTTAAAACACTATTTTTTTCTGTCTGCATTGATCAATATTAGTTCCTTCATTCACAGAAAACTGTTAGTGTCCCTGAGAAGCTTGAAAGACAAGAAACATTCTTCCATTCTACTCATCTTCTTCTCTAATGAGGAGACAACCTTCAAAACACAGTTACATGGCCATAAAAATTAATGAATGGCTACCTCAGAATGAAAATTCAATGTCTCATTTTTTTTTTTTTTAGTGTTCTTAGAATAGTTCACTAGTTGTCCATGACTCTGAGTCTCCTGTTGAGGTGTCTTTTGCAGCTTTCCTTGAAACCTTTTATTCCGAACTACATAGTCCGATAATTTTGCCACCAATCTTCTGGTTATATTATGCTCCTGAGTTCATTGTCTATAAACTTGATTAGGTATTCCTTCCCCTCACCACTCACCTCTGATAACCCAGCTGTGTGTTGGTATTTAGTATGAATTCACACCAGCAAGTTCAGCCCTTTTCAATCAATATAGGGCCACACAGAGACCTTTGACTGACTACTCCCGAAGTATTTCACATTTTGGGGACTTATCTCCAGTTTTTCACCACAGTTGTTCATCACTGTGTTTCTTACTAGCCAAATGTTTATAAAAACATTAATACCTAACATTATTGATTACCTACTATAGTGTCAGGTGCTGTAATAATATTATTGTGATGATGATTATGCTGTTGTTTCTGGCATTGTCATACATGTGTTGCTTGTACTACTCATTGAATCTACACAACTGCCCTTATGACATTCACCCTATTATTATTCCTCTTTTAAGGTAAATATATGAAAAATGCTTCCCACTTTGCCTTGCTTACTGCTAGTGTTGAACAAATGTTACAGCTGAAACTTAGAGAGGTTATGTGGTTTAACCAAGGTCCCAGAGTTCCTAAGGCAGAGAGTAGGATTGTCTACCAAGCATTTTGATTCTAGTACTATACATCTTAACCATTATCATAGGCTGACGTGCTCTACAGTGTCCAACACTATTCATATTACAATTTATTTAACGACTTTGAAACAGTGTTTCATGTCTAAATAGAAGAACTAGCTCTCATTTTTAAGAAAATATTGTCTCTCGGTTTTTCTTCGCTACTAGCCAGTTTACTAACAATTTGAAATAAAAAGAAAAAAAATATGATAAACTGCTCCCAGTATAAAATACAGAGCTAAGACAAGAACATTTCATTGACTTTGATTTCCCTAGGGTCCAGCTCTGAATTAATTTACTTCCTGTTCAAGGGAATTTTAAGTCAGAAAGAAGATCTTATCCCATCTTGTTTTGCCTTTTCTTCCCCTCGAATGAAAAAAAATAAGTAAAATTTATTCCCCTGGCAAGGTCTGAAAACTTTTGTTTTCTTCACCACTTCCGCAATGTATATTATTGTTATTGAGAAGACTTATTTAACTTAAATTACTTGTCCAGGCACGAGAATGAGCAAAATCATTTTTTAAAAAAAAGTGTTAAATGTGTATTAATGAAAAGATTGAATCTTTTAATTTTCTACCATGTATTGCTGAACAAAGTATCCACATTGTTAGAAAAAGATATAGAATGTCATGAATAAGAGTTTGGCTCAAATTGTTACTCTTCAATTAAATTTGACTTATTGTTATTGGAATTGGCTCTTTAGCTTGTGTTTCTAATTTTTCTTTTTCTTCTTTTTTCCTTTTTGCAAAAAACCCAAAATATTTTAGCTCCTAGTCAGACTGTTACTCTGGTGACACAACCTGTGGTTACTAAGGAAACTGCCATCTCCAGACTAGAAATGCCATCTTCCTTGATGTTGGAGGTACCTGCTCTGGCAGATTTCAACCGGGCTTGGACAGAACTTACCGACTGGCTTTCTCTGCTTGGTCGAGTTATAAAATCACAGAGGGTGATGGTGGGTGACCTTGAGGATATCAACGAGATGATCATCAAGCAGAAGGTATGAGAAAAAAATGATAAAAGTTGGCAGAAGTTTTTCTTTAAAATGAAGATTTTCCACCAATCACTTTACTCTCCTAGACCATTTCCCACCAGTTCTTAGGCAACTGTTTCTCTCTCAGCAAACACACATTACTCTCACTGTTCAGCTTAAGTATAATCAAGGATATAAATTAATGCAATTAACAAAAGTAGCCATACGTTAAAAAGGAAATATACAAAAAAAGCAGAAACCTTACAAGAATAGTTGGCTGAGTTAAATTTACTAAACAACCTGGTATTTTAAAAATCTGTTTTATACCAAATAAATCACTCAACGGAGCTATTTGCATTTAAACTGTTTGTTTTGGCACTATGCAGCCCAACATATTGCAGAGTCAAATATAATAGTCTGGAAATTGATTATTATCCTCTCTTCTAAGTTGTCTGTGCCAATTTTCCTCCTCCAGTGATAAGGATTATTGAAAGAGAGATATAAATTAAAAAGAGAAAAGTAACAAAACATAAGATATTTTAAAATACCCTAGATCTTAATGTTGGCATTTATGCAATGCCATGTTCAAATGAACGTGTTTTTAATACAAATAGTTCATTTTTCAGCCTCAGTGTAATCTATTTGATAAAATTATGACATCAACTAGAAGCATTAGAATATGTTTATGTAAATATGGTTTACGTAACTAGATCAAATATACTATACATCTTTTATATATGTGAATGGTTAAGAAAAATAATTTTGGAATTGTTATACATTAAAGTTTTTTCACTTGTAACAGCTTTCAAGTCTTTCTAAAGAAATAGGAAGTTGTGCTGAAGGTATATAGGTATTAAAGTACTACCTTTTGAAAAAACAAGAAGTGAGGCAGACAGAGTAAGGGGAATTTCTTTGTAAAATAAATTTCAGCAATTCAGTAGGAATAAAGTAATTTGATAGTAAACAACCTGCATTTAAAGGCCTTGGGCTTGAATACAGAAGACCTGAATTCAGTGCCATTTGCAAATGATGACTGGTCAAGCCATCTCTGGATCTTGGTTTCCTATTCTGAGTACAGAGCACACAGAATACACATTCACATTCACAATATAGTTATGGATATGGATGTATATAAATATATGTAAATACCACATATATGTACATGAAAATTTGTTTTACTTTTGCTTTATAAAAAGTAATTATAGCCACATTTTTCAGAAAACGTAACTGAGGCTCATAGATATCAAATTCCCAGTAGAATTTGATACAAATCCAAGTCCGTTTGATTCCTAAGCCAGTGTTATTACTTGATACATGTACTGCAGGCAGTACATGTATCAAGTAATACATATACTACAAGTAATACATACTATTGCTGCAGTAATAACTGTAACTGCAATTACTATTTAGTGATTTGTATGTAAATCTAGATGTAGTCTATGTCAGACACTATGCTGAGCATTTTATAGTTGCTATGTACCGATACATACAGAAACAAGAGGTATGTTCTTTCACAATATCATATTGAGTTATATAATACTCCCAGGACTTTTATTTACCAAAGGAAACAATATTTTATAACATTTAAAGCCCAGGTTTTGAAGTTAGATTGTTTGGGTTCAAAGCTGGGCTCCCAAGCTGTGTGACCTTGAGTAAGTTATTCAGCCTCCCTGAGCCCAAGTTTATCTATCTATAAAATGTGGATAGTTGTACTATCTGCCTTGCAGTTTGTTATCAGAATTAAGTTTGTTGGTACATGAAAAATGCTTCCCACTTTGCCTTGCTTACTGCTTACTGCTAGTATTGAACAAATGTTAGTAATTATATTTGGTTCCACCACGAACTCTAGAAATCTAACCAATGATGGCATTTGTATTTGCAAACTGTATATCACATCATAATACTATATGGAAATGAGAGCTTGTTTCCACTTCTGTACCCTATTCTGCCATTGACATTATAGCTTCCTGCAGAAGTTACCTAATAATAGATTGGAAGAGAAAGTCCACACTTCCTTGTGACAGGTTTGTGGGTCCTGCATTTAGGGAAGCCATTGATGTGCTCAGTAGTCTCCAGAGTTCTCTAAATAAATTTGTCCTTTTCAGAAAGGACTACTAATTTCATGCCGCCTCGCAGAGATTGTCTTTAAATATAGGTCAAAAACTAACGTAGAGGGCCAGGTGCAATTTTTCACGCCTGCAGTCCCAGCGCTTTGGGAGGCTGAGGCAGATGGATCACTTGAGGTCAGGAGTTTGAGACCAGCCTGGTCAACATGGCAAAACCACATCTCTAATGCAAATAAAAAAATTAGCTGGTGTGGTGGTACATGCCTATAATCCCAGCTACTAGGGAGGCTGAGGCAGGAGAATCACTTGAATCCTTGACCAGAGGTTCCATTGAGCTGAGATTGCGCCATTGTACTCCAGCCTGTGCGACAGAGTGAGACTCCGTCTCAGAAAAAAAATAATAATAATAATGTAGGGGAAAAAATCAAAAGCCATTTCTGAGACACAAAAATATAGGATTTATAAATTATATATAGTATAAAAATATTTTTAAAATATTATATATAGCATATTATATATAATGATATATAATGTATATATATTTATAAAAAATCTAATCTCCCTTCTCTTGCTTGCTGAATAGTGGGATGCTTTGCCTGTCTCTTCCGCTTATATTAAAAAATAATTAATAAAGACATTGTCAGTTCTTGGCTTTTATTGCCTCAATCACCAAATTGTCAGTAAAATGGCCCTAAATAATCATTAAACAAATATCTGTGAGAGGGGAAATAAGAAGGAGAAGTAAGTGTGGGGAGGATTTCATTATAATTTCAAGAAATCAATATCAATTTTATGTAAAGTTTTAAATAAAGCAATCTCAACGTTAATGTTTGATGTGTGAAAAATTAGGCAAAATTCCAAAAGGGCTTTATAAACTGAAAAAAAAAACTTTACTAACACCTACCCATTTTTATTATTTTAACCAACTTCTATTGAGCTGCCACTAAGTACCTGGGAAATATAAAGTTGTACAACATAGAATGTGCAGGTAAAAGAGGTTGAAGGAAGAAAATAATAACACTATGATAGAGATAAATTTTGGGATAATAGCTAACACATACTTAGCACTAATGATATGCTAGTCATTGATCTAAGTACTTCATGTGAATTCTTTAATGCTTACAACATCACTGTGAGGTAAATACAGAGGCACAGTAAGGATAATAACCTGACTGAGATCAAGGAAGAAAGAGACAATGATGAGATATGAACTCAAGCAGTTTGGTTCCATAATCCTCTCCCTTAAACCTCATAGTTTTCAACTTCTCTGATATTGTGTGAGTGATTCTGTTGGGGCTTTCTTCGGGGAAAACTAAGCCAGGAGAGAGAACAGATGCTAGTGAGATATTCCTGAAGAAGATAAAACGTAAGCCAAGCATTAAAGAATGAGTTGGAATTACCTAGCTAGATAAAACGAGAAGGACAATCCAGGCAGAGGGAGCAGACTGTGCTTTTCACTGAGGTGGAAAAAAACAGAGTATGTCATAGGAATTGTGATTCCATATGGCTGAAGTTAAGGGTATATGATGAGAAGAAATTGATGAGGTTGAATAGAGAGGACTGGGGCTAAATAATGGGAATCCTTTGTTGCCAGACTGAGGAATTTTGATGATGGCCTACAGGCAGTGGCAACCCTGAAAGGATTGTAAACAGGAAAATAAAATCATCAAATATAGTTTAGTTGCCTATCAATTAGAGCTCTCTGGATGCAAGCAACAGAAATCATTCTCTGATTAAATCAGGCAGAAAGTAAATGTGCTGTAATTAGCACAAAGGCAATGGAACAAAACTTACAAAAGGAGAAAGAATCTGAGCATGCCTTTCTGGGCATGCGGCTAGCAAGAAGTATTCCAGTCTGTTTGTGATACTCTCTTTTCTCCATCCTGTGTGTAACTCTCTTCAAATTTTAAAGTCTCAAAAGAGAATCCAGTTCACCTTGCTTGGGTCACATGTTAATACATGAGCTAGAAGAGAGCAGAAAATTTTATTTAAATCCCTCTCCTCCCAAAGTCTCAAAATTAGGGAAAGGCAATTCTCCCGAATAGCAACTGGGCCTGTTGACAATAGAAAAGGAAAAGGTTCTGACCAACCACTAAACAATAATTGTCCACTGAACTCAGTCAAGAACATGTGGAATAAGTTGGAGGACAGAGCAAATAAAGGAGATTTGTAGGAGGTAATTATTATGTTCTAAAGCAAGCTTGTTCAACTCATGGCCTGTGAGTCACATGCGGCCCAGGATGGCTTTGAATGTGACCCAAAACAAATTTGTGAACTTTCTTAAAACATGAATTACTTTTTGTGATTTTTTTTTTCACTCATCAGTTGTCATTAGTGTTAGTGTATTTTATGTGTGGCCCAGGACAATTCTTCCAATGTGGCCCAGGGAAGCCAAAAGATTGGATACAGCTGATCTAAAGCAACAGGGTCATCTACTCAACTTTGCAGCATGTAGACCTGAAATAAAGACCATCCATATACCAATACCTCAAATATAAATTTGTCTGATTATGACACGTACAAAAATTAGTTCTCAGTAAATGTAGATAGCTTGAAGGATAATGTGAATGCAATGTGATAAACAAACTTCATATTGAACAGATTGGAATGTGAGGATTATAATTTATAATTCCAAAGCATCAGAAGTTAGATAAGATAATGCAATAAGACATTTTATGATTCAAGGCGAAGTTAGTTATGAGATTCAGACCAAACCTTAGACACACAGAAATTGAAATATTTGCCACAGAAAGGGTATAAGGACATGACATTCAAGTAAGCTAGCCTTTTACTAGCTTTAGACTTTGAACTCAGAAAACATATTTGGTGAAAAGCTTATGGTCTCCTTTAGTATGTGTTGCTTGATTAAAGTATTATTTTAGAAAATGGTGAGCTGCTCCCACGTTGAAATAAAAATAATTTTTACTAAGTGAATTATATTCAGTAAAAAAATGGAAGCTA